GAAAGAAGATACAAGAAAACTAGACAAATAAGTTAAAAAGCAATCAAAAAGGAGAGTAAAAAAGGAAGGGGAGGGGCTGGAGCCATAGCACAGTGGGTGAGGCATTTGTCTTGCACATGGCCGACCTGGGTTCGGTTCCTAGCATCCCATATAGTCCCCCTGAGCACCACCAGGAGTAATTCCTGAGTGCAGAGCCAGGAGTAACCCTTGTGCATCACCAGGTGTGACCCAAAAAGGGAAAAAAAGAAAGAGGAAAAGAGAAAATAATTGCCAATATCTTCAGCCACAACGTTTGTTTGGTATGTATCTCACACTCCACACTTTAGTATAAGTAAATGAATGCAAGGAAATTTACTTTGAAAGAAGCTGGAGACCTTGGAAACCGCTCCAGGCTGATGCTCGGCAGAGGGGTACCAGCTGTGATCTGTACAGAACTAGCAGTTCGTTTCTGGGTGTCTGGGTCTCTGTTGTTTATTTTATGAAGTGCTAACAGGGTGCAAGGCTGAGTTTGTGTGACTTTGCTCTACTGAGTGTTGGAAAAGTTTGCTAATGCTGTTGAATGCTGCTACACCAGCGTTACAGGAAGAGGGGAAGGAGTTCCTGCTGAATGAGTTCCACCATACAACTCATACCACGAGTTGCCTACAAGCACCCCAAAAGATTAGTAGAGATTTCTGAGGAAGAGAGACAAAGGAAGATGCACAACTCTTGAGGAGGGTGAGAGGGAAAAATGAAGGACTAGCAGAGGGATCCACATTAATCAAGTTCTTCTCATCAGAGAACCAAGTCCAGGGAAAAGTTAACTTCCTTGAATGAGAAGGAATCTATTCCTAGAGCCTTTCAAAGCCCTTTCATACAATTAATATTTTGAGGTATCATAGTTTACGATAGTATTTTATAGTTGCAATACCTTTTAGACACTTCAGCTTTATGGACTGCCTTTTGTTGTTGTGCCGTTTATCATCACAGTTGTAAGAGATTCACAAGTGGATTCCAGAGATGAGGTTTGGAAGAGTCGATGATGTAAAAAAAAGATAAGAAAAACAGTCCAGATCTATATACAAAAAGTTTTCTTGAACAACAAGGGGACCAGAAACTATTAACATATTAAAATATACAATTAAAGACTTGACTGTACTTGCTTGTCCGTGTGAATCATCTGGGGATCTTGTTAAAACTGTTCCTGATTCATGGTTGTGGATGGAGCCTGAGAGTCTGCATTTATAAGAAGCCCCAAAGAGATGTAGCTGCTATTGGTCTAGGAGTCATGCTTGGACTAACAAGGAAGACTTGTTTGTGGTGCTCACACACTTGGCTCTGGTGCTCACCAGGGGGAGAGCATCTGATTGCAGTGCTTGTACACCCAATAGCAGTGTTTACCAGGGACCTCACACTCTAGCTGTGGTGCTTACATGCATTTGAGTTCATAGATGTGGTGGCACTCGGTCATGTTATGGTTGAACTGTGTTCACCAGATTGGCACAGTTTTGTTGCAGTGCTCCTACATGCCTGACTGAGCACTGGGGAGCGTACACTCTATATCTATAGTTTAACTGGAAATCCCAGACTGCAGAACTGTCAAGAGTGCTTAGTGCATGTGGGTGGCACTGGGGATTGAATTCATGGTTCCACTCAAAGCAAGTGCTTTGAGCCTCTGAGCCATCTGTTGCTTAGTCCCTTCCTGAACCACAATATGGAAAATAATCTTAAAACCTATGTGAAAGGTCCAGTAAAGTCACAGCTCTGCCCTTTGGGGTGCTTGACTGAATTCTCTCATGATGTCTTTCAAAGTGCAATCCCAGAACCAACAGGATCACCTGGGAAGTTGTGTCGAGGCAGATTCTTTGACCATCTCTAGACTGATAGAGTCAAAATAGAGCCTGGGAGTCTTTAGTTTTAACTAGCCCTCCAGGTGATTCTGACATATATCCAACTTTGAGAAACACTGCTATCACAAGAGCAATCAGTCACCCAGCTAACTGAATTCAGGGCAACAAGACAGCAAATGCACAGGAAGAAATCCAGCCTATGGCACCATTTACTAGATGGGGGGCATTTTAGGTCCCTGTTCATGTCAGGGTAGGGAATGTTTTTCAACTTTTCCCAAGAGTTTTCGTGTTTTGCAAACCACTAGTATCACCCGTGTAAGCCCATCTAACGTTAATTAGGATAATTAATGAAACCCCTGGTGTAATCAGAGCTAAAGATAGAGCTGAAGCACTTACAGTGGCCACCTCTGGAGCGAGGCTTTTTGATTAATTGCTAGCCAACCACCCCTGGAGTGTGCATTCCTGATTAAGACAACTGACCGCCTCAGTAGTGGGGCTTAAGCTAAAACACATATATCATATTGTACTACCCATGAGAAGGTTTTTTAAGTGCTTTGAAGATATATTCATGAAAACATAATTTAATCATAATAAAAGGCATATATTTAAATTGTGTCCTTTAGATGTTGCACATATCTATACTCCTGATGCTACTGTTCCAATTAAAATGTCTAATATTTCAGTTACCTAAACTCACCCTTGAGTTCTGTGCAGTTATGCACCCCTAACCTTACTCCAGGCTACCATCTATCTGCCTTGATATGACTATAGGCAAGTTTTTCCTATTCTAGAATTTCATGTAAATGGAATCAAACCGTATTTACTCTTTCGTGTCTTGTGTCAAGCTTTTTTTTACCCAGTGTAATGTGTTTTTGTTGCATGGTCAGGAATTTGTTCCTTTCTATTACAGAGCAGTATCCCTACCACAATGTATTCCTTCTCTTAGTTTGCTTCTGGGTTTTGGCTCTTATAAATGAATAGAGCCACTATAGAAATTTATCTATGTGTCTTTTGTGGCTCTGTGTTTTTATTTCTTTTGGGTAAATAACTAGGAGTAGAATATTTGGGTTCTATAAGATGTGTGCTTAATTTAATAAGGAATTGATGAACTAGTTGTACTATTTTACATTCTCACCAGCGGCATAGGAGAATTTCAGTGCTATAATTTCCACACCATTTGGTGATATTAAGATTTTTTAAAAATTTTGTTTTTGGGGGGCCACATCTGGAAGCATTCAGGGCTTGCTATTGGCTCCATACTCAGGGTTCACTCCTGGGGATACTCAGGGGCCATGTGGGATACCGGAGATAGAACCTGGGTCAGCTGTGTGCAAGGCAAGCTCTTTACCCACTGTCCTATCACTCCAGCCCTGAGTCTTTATTTTGGTGCTAGATACCCCATTTTCCTCATTTAGTTTTGCTTTTAATGGTGCAATATTAATACAGGAACCTAATTCTTAGTGTATAGTTTCATGCCACCCTCCTGTATTCCTCCATCACAGTCCATTGCCCCCCCCTTCCTACTCCCCACCTCCATGCTCAACTTGCCTTTAGTAACCTCAGTTCTGAGTTCAGAAGCAGGTTTGTGTTCATTTCACTTTGTCTGTACTTTTGGTTTGATTCTATACAATCTATATAGAAACGAAGTCATTCAGATTTTTTTCTTACTCTCTTTTTGCTTATGTCTAATCATTTATTTTATTTTATTTGGAGGGGATGCTCCCACATGCTATCCGAGACCTCAGGGATCACTCGTGGCAATTCTCAGCCAATCTGGCCAGTAGTTCAATGCACCAGCGTGTGGATGCAGCTCTCCTTGGGGCCTGCAGTGTTGGGGGTTACCTCTGCCACTCCATTTGTGCTCGGGGACTTCCAGGGCTGTACTTGATGATGCTCAGGAGACCATGTAGTGCTTGGGATCAAACTGGAGTCAGCCACATGCAAAACATACATGTTAACCCTTGTTCTATCTAACACCTCTTATGTTTAATATTTTAAGTTTACAGATTATAACTTTCTTTTCTCCTATTTTCAATTCAAGTTTTTATGCCCGGTGACTTCAATAGTCTTAACACACAATAGTGTGGACTAAGGTGATTTGCATAGGGGTCATGGCATAGCTTTCCTAACACTGCCTTACCTTACCCCCTATTAGAATTGGTTTTGTGGAAGCTACATAGTCACAGCAGTTTGTTACCTGTGCCAGTATATTTCGTTTTCATTCTTTCTCTATTTTATTTATTCTGTCTGTCAGCCAGTTTTTAAGCTGTATTAAACCTTTTTCAGGGAGCAATGGCGTAGTACATAATCTGAGGAAAGTGACAGAAGTAGGTGATGGGGTGCTTGTCTTTAAGGAGCCTGGTGGCACTTGGATTCTCTTGAAGCATAAATGCACAGAAAACCTAGAAAAAAATACAGCATATGAAGGTTTTCACCAACCGGAGTAAGAGCATAATCTATATATAGTGCCCTGGGTTGGAGAATCGGGGTTTGATAAGCAACTGTAGATACAGATACCATGACTGAAATTATTAATCTGTGTTGAAGATTAGAATGATTGCAGGTTAAAACATAAAGCTGATTTGTGTATTTTTATTCCAATTGTGTATTAAAATTCATCTCACACGCAGAGTTCTGTTGGGGAGAATTCACACTGTTAACAGTGTGGATCTCTAGGTAATGGGATTATGGATGATTTGTTTACTTGATTATATATTTTTCTTTTATTTATAAATTTTCTACCATGAATAACTTTGGCTTTCATAACCTAAAAGTATTTCATTGCTTCTTGATTGTTTGCTAACTTCCCATAGATATTTCTGGAATACGTTCTTTGTTCTCACTAATCTTGTATAGCAAAGATTCACTACAGGAGAGCCAAGATTACATTTTAGGGCTTTGGAGTTCCCTGTAAGAGTGTACAAATGCACTGTAGATGATACCACACCAGTGGTTCTTCATAGAATTTGACTTTCCTGGTTGTCAGACAACAGAAAGAAGTGTCTTTTGCCTCTTTTCCTCAGATGAACAGAATTTCACCTCTTAAAAACTAGGAGCATAAACAAATCTATTTTTGTTGTTGCCATTGAGGGCCATTCAGTGGATGCTTTTTTTCTGTGCTTTCAGATAAAGTAATACATTTTTTTGTTTGTTTCCTCCCTTTTTCTTTAGCCGACCTGAATAATGTCAGGTTCTCAGCTTATCGGACAGCTATGAAGCTCCGGAGACTGCAGAAGGCTCTCTGCTGTAAGTATCCATCGGGCAGGAAGACTGAGAGATATTCTTGGCTCTACAAAAATGGGTTATTGGTATTTTTCACTTGGAGAGGGGAGGAATCATTGCCTCATGTCTGGTTAGAGCATTGAATTCATTTTTAATTTTGTTTATTACTTATTAGACAGTGGCCACACCTAGCAGTGCTCAGGGATCTGTGCTCAGGAGTAATCTCCTGTTTGTGCTCCAGTCACCATATGCAATTCCAGGGATCTAATGGGGATTACCTGTACTGCAGGGCATGTACCTTAATCCCTGCACTTTCTCTATAGTCTCTTTAATTCATTTAAAAAAAAACATTGGCCTAGTATTGGCTCACACGCTTTTGTTAAATTGTCTGGCATTATTTCTGTTGCTAATCCTCAGATACCAATTGATTTGATAAGGTACTGATACTTTTTATTTTCCAACTGATGTCATTGGCATTGAGACTTCTCTTTATGAAACTTGAACTATCTCCCCCTAGTGTACTTTCATTTCTTCTTCTTACAAGATATCTTTAGTATTAGAGGATGGGGACTGCTTTATCTAAGCCAAAGTTCACAGGTATGTGTGTGATTATTAACTTGAATACTAATGTTCAGATGAATACTTTGATGAAAGAAAGATAGCAGTAGTTTTAAGCTTTTTCTATATAGCCTATCAGTGGGGGTAATCCTGAAGTGTCATACAGTGTTATCTTTTTTTTTATCAAATCACTTATATAACTTATCAACAAAGAAATTCTAGTGAAACTTTTCTCTCTCTTTTTTTTTTTTTTTGCTTTTTGGGGTCACACCCGCCGATGCACAGGGGTTACTCCTGGTTCATGCACTCAGGAATCACTCCTGGCGGTGCTCGGGGGACCATATGAATGCTGGGAATCAAACGTGGGTTGGCCACGTGCAAGGCTAAGGCCCTACCCGCTGTGCTATTGCTCTAGCCCCGTGAAACATTTCTTAAGTACCTACATGCATTGGTGATTAACACCATGAAGTAGACAAGAAGGTCTTTACCTGGTTGAAATTTGCAGTCCAATGGGATGGAGAGATAGCTTAACCCAGAGTCTAGAGACAAAGGTGCATATACATATAGGTCCATTGAGAATAACTATAGTTTGTTAAAAACAAACAGAAAATGATGCGGTCTCCATTTCTAGACTTTGTGGGAACCCTGAGGAAAAGTGAGGAGTCAATTTCAAGGTCATGTGTTTGTATTTAGTCATGTGACAGTGGGAGAACTGCCTGCTCTGGAAGCAGCTAGTCACTGTGGCGAAGTTATGAAATTTGTTTGAAGATATGATATCTAAGGTACTTGAGCCTGAAAAGGGCCTGAACTCCAGAGATTCATTTAGAAACTGAAAATACACATGGCTAAAGTATTGTGTATTAGGGAGGGCCTAGCAAGGGCCTCTGGTGTAATATCTGGCTAGAGCGTGAAGTGGTAGGCCATTGTGAAGGACATTTTAAACTGGAGTTAAAGAATGTAGATGTCTGTGGGAAACCATTCAAGGAGTTCTGGCAGGGGGATGACATAATGGGATTTTCTTTCAGAAAGATCATTCTGGTATGTGGATTAGGGGTGGGGAGGGTATTGCACAATTTATGGAAGAGAGACTGATGAGGAGTTTCAGTAATCTAAACCAGCTAACATGGTGACCTGAGTTAGCCAAATCGGAATGGAGCTGATTGGAGAGAATTAAGAACTCTTGAAGAAATAGAGGATAATTCTTTTTTTTTTTTTTTTTTTTTTTTTGCTTTTTGGGTCACTCCCGACGATGCACGGGGGTTACTTCTGGCTTATAACTCAGGAATTACTCCTGGCAATGCTCGGGGTGACCATATGGGATGCTGGGAATCGAACCCAGGGCAACCGCGTGGAAGGCAAATGCCCTACCCGCTGTGTTATCACCCCAGACCCCATAGAATGAATAATTCTTTGAAATAAATTTGATGCACTGGATGAGGAGAATCTAGGGCAATAGGCTATGTGCTTGGTTTTGGTGAAGAGTAGGCTTTTGGTATAGTATATTTGTGCCACACCGGAGAAATTTACAAGTAATGCTTGAACTCAAAAGCATATGTATGCTCTGGAAGAGTATAAGAATATTTAGGACAGGATGAACAATGTCCTGAGGGTGAGCTGCAGAGGAATAGACAGAGGAACTGAAGGAGAGTATGAAGAGGTTACAGTGACACATACTGTATAAGTAACTAGGCTTTTCCTCTTCACTTTGGTCTGTAGTGCTTAGGACGACGCCTGCCACAGAAAAGGGTTTAATATATTTTTATGGAATTGGATGCATGAGGAAAGTAAATTTCTGCTTTCTTTTCCTTCTCTCTTATAGTCTGCAGCTATCAGGTTTCAGTTCTAAAGCTGCCAACTTGAAAATGGTTTCAAAAGGCCTCCCTAGCTAGGATCAGGATTTCCGTAGGAACCTGTTAATGTCAGTAGCTGGAAAGAAGCAGTTTCAGATGGGGTGCAGTGGGTGGAGTCAGAGAGTGAATGGAAAATGTCCTTTCTTCTGGCCCGGACACCCAACATACTGGTATCCACTGATAAAAGAGTAATTATCAACTGGTTATTGTTTGAGTCCATTCCAAAATTCTGAAAGGGTTGTTGAATATTCCAAATTATAGTAGGAAAATGCCCAGAAATAGAAATAGATGCTCTGGAAAACTTTACAAAATGACTGCCCCCTATGCTTCATGTTCCTTTTGAGCCTGGATGTGGGCATTATTCAATTATCCTGTCAAAAATAATTCCATTTACCCTATGTGTCTCATTGTCTAGCATTTCAGTTTTTATGTGAACCTGCCTGACCCAACACTGGGAAAATGAGGAAGGAGATATTGTGAAGAATTTTGGATACTTGAGGTTAGAACGTTGTGTTAAAGTTAAGCTTCAAGTGTAGAATGTAGAGTTTTAAGCCGGTATGAAGAAGCCTGCATATGCTTTCAGCGGACGTCTTTTCTCACACTTAGACCAGCTTTAGGTGTAGCAAATTTAGAAAGTATTTATCTGAGTTAAGTACTGGATTTTCAAGAAAGCTGGGAGGGTCTATGTCTAGTATGAATATAGGATGAAAAATGGGCCAATTTTTATTATTGAAAATGTGCAGTTGCACTATTTAACTGTTCAGCCCAAGAGTTGAGGATTTTTTCTTAATTTTTTTATTTACTTAGGTTTATCTTGTGGCCTTTGTATCATTTCTTTGCCTGCAGCACGACGATAAAGAGCTATTGTCTATAGTACAGACAAATAAAACTTGTCCTGGCTAGTTTTTCCAGCTGAAGGTAGCTTCCTCTAACTGTTACCTTAATGAAAATGGATGATGTTCTCCCAGTGATTTCCTGATGCCAGGGAAGAGGTTGAATTACCAGTGCCGTAGAAAATATGCAGTGCTACTGCCATTAAGCACTTGGTCTTTTTTTCACTTCACTATCCAAGCTTCAATATTATAGAAACCCAAATAATACAATATTATCCACTATAGAGAACTGGCTATTTAAGTTGAGAGCATCGCCATTGGCCTATAATGTAATCGGTTTGTAATCGGTTTAATGTTGCATGACTCCGTACTGCCTTTCAACACATTGTGAATGAAAATGAAACTTGACAGAAAAGCAGAGACAAAAAGAAAATCCGGTGAGAAGGATTTGTAAGATAGTTAATGTGGCTGATATCCCTTTGACTTGAGAGATTGTCTTGTACTTTTGCCTTATTCTTCTGGAGTTCCGATGACATCTATAGGTGTGTGATGTCTAAAATAAAAAAAGTAGCCAACTTCTAAGAACCAAATAAAAATAAACTTAACAGCACATGTATTTAGTTTATTAGTGTATGTTGGGTTGGAGAGAGTCCAAACCATAGAGCTAAATATACTGCAGTTGATGAATGTGACAAATATTCTGCAAGCAAGGAATAGAGAACAATTTGCTTCTGTTCAGCAAATGAATCACACAGCAAAGAGATTTTAAACAGCCTCGAGTCATCTGAATAAAGTCAGAGCTTGCAGACTCACCTTGACTGCAACAAACCAGGTGAAAAATGTGCTCTCTCTTTGCTAAATGCATCTCACCTTTTGAGAGCTCACTTAGGGTAGCATTAGACAGGGTTCCGTTGCTAAAGAAGGTTCAGGGACTCATGATAACCTGGCCTATAAATCTACAGTCTGTCGCAGGGAAATTAAAAAGGGTAGTATTATTCAGGTCAGATTTAGATCCAGAACCGTAGGCTATCTCATAGCAAGGGAGCCCAGGAGATTAATGTATTTATCTTCCCTATCCCCCAAAAAAGTTCTTTTCTCATAGAGAATGTTTTCTTTTTCAGATAGAGACAATATTGTGGTTATTTTAGAATTCTCAAGACCTTGATGACACAGTCAAATAAATTTTCTCGGTTTGCATGGCTGAGCAGACACTAGTGCCCAAAGAGAGGGTTCCCATAACATCACCCTATCACCAGGACAGCAGCATAATCCTGTTTAAAATGGGTTTTTATAAGAAGAATGTTTATAACCCCAGGTATTGCACAATGCATAAAAGTGATTTGTCCAAGATCATGGTGCTGATGCTGGTACAGAGTTCCTCATAGGCTCAGTCCTTTATTGTTCTAGCCAACTGCCATCCTCATCGTTCTCTCTGGTTTTAATTTGATGCTTTCAAAGAGCTGTCTTTACACATGGTCTTTTTCACCACTTTATCTTTTCTTATTCAAAGTAAATTCAACTGTCCAGGTATTTCTAGTCCAGTTTCTAATACTCCCGAGGTTCTTAGATTTCAAATGGGTCCATGTTCTTTGATCCACCAGACATCACTCAAGTGACCTAAGTATTCCCCTAGCTACCTATAGCTTTCCTCCCATAATAATTTTGCAGATAATTTTATGCCTAATAGTGTGGCAAATGAGATCTGTACTATATCACCTACCTTGCGTGCCATACCTTTTTAAAAATGTTTTTTATTATCACTGGTTTGAAATATTATGAAATT